TCTCACTCCTATTTAAAGACACACACACACACTCACGCTCGCTGGCAGCGGGGACAGAGGACGGAGCAGACAAAAGCATGTTTGTGTTCATGAGAATGTGAAGCACAGTGGGGCTCTTATGTATGGAGGCAGTGTCAGGCTCGTCCCAGAGAGACCGGGGGGGGGGGGAGTGTCTGTTAGAGGGGATTTCACCAACTCATGCACTTAAAGCATGACTACAATGTGCACAGGAATGTTAAAATACTGATGTGTAGCTCAGCTTCGTTTATTCTTACAAAACGTTGCTGCATTGGTAGCCCGCCTTGAAAGTAACGTCAGAGAAACAGAAAGTTTATTATCTGTTTCTCTGGTGCTGGATCTGATGATGATGCAAAACAGGTATTTTTATTATGTCTTATATTTTTCTGTCTCTGTCCAACATTCAAGAAAAGCCATGAATATAAAGTGGTTGAGTTTAATGCAGATATATGACCAAAGAATGAACACTCAAATATTTCTTCCTCTGGAGTTATTTAGGTTTCATTTAACAGGAAAGCATCAAGGCTTTTTAAATTACCTTTATTATGTATGGAGGCAAATTAGTGCCAACAAAACAGGGTTCTTTCCCCCCCTATGTAATTATAAGAACATGTTTCATAGAATGGATAAAGCCCACCATTTTTAGGAATTAAAAAGCAAGTTTAATAATTGTTTTTAAATGTAAAGGTTATCCTCACAACAGAAAGACATTAGGGAGAAGACGTGTTGTATGGAGGCTAATTTGCGCCACAAAATTTCGTCTTTCTCTCGTCTGGAAACTATTTTTTTGCGACGATGCAAAACTTGTCCTTGTAAGAATAATTTGTATTTTGTTGATTGTTTTTTATTTTTTAAAGACCGAAAAGATTTCCATTCAAAAGTTTCAGACGTGAACTTGTACGGTTACCTGGTAGGATGGCGTTGATTGATTTAGTAACAACAGGAGAGAAAAATAATAGAATGAAAGAAAATTAAAAAAGTTATCTTTAATATTGACTGAACAAAAGTTAATAAAGTAAACAAATTTCAAAATTGATAGCATGAAGAGCATTTTTTTTAAATTCGACGGCATGCACGTACAGAGAACCAGCCCTCTCCCCAAATACCTTATTTTGATATTTGGAAACAAAAAAAGGCTTCACAGGGATGGAGGGGGGGGGAGGGGGGGGGGGTGAGGCTGTGGGAGACTAAAACTAAATGTAGCCACTCGATCCATTGTTGTGTTCTTTCCCCCTCTCTCCTCTGAGAGTACACAAAAGCAGCAGCGGTCCATTATGGTGCAAAACAGAGAGCACGCAGGGCGACACACACACACACACACACACACACACACACACACACACACACACACACACACACACAGCACTGAGACCGTTTAGTTAAGGTGCATATCCCTGCTCGCTCCCACGCAGCGCTTTGTGTTGATTGAGCAACTTGTTCTGGTTAGAGAGGAGATGAACGTGACATTTGAGATTGTTAAAACACACACACACACACACACACACACACACACACACTCCTTTGTAATAACACATACACACCACCTGCACTGTAAAAAGCACTCTGTCTTCGTGTTGTTATTCCTCGAGGCTGGAGAACGGTGGATCAGACAAAGTTAACCCATCATGTTTTTAGAGAGCGGACACACAAACCTGAGCTGGAATCAGACTTTTAGGTCAAAAATTATTTAAGATTTAAATCATGAAACAGTCTCCACATGTCCCTATGAACATGCTCAAAAGATTCAGAAGAGAGGGATTTCTTTTTGCTTCATTAGATGTTTAAATAAGACGAGCTGTATCAGACCATCACAGTGAATGGTCGCCCTCTGGTGGCAGCTGTCGGTAACAGCAGCATGTGTTATTTAGGTCACAGCGCTCGTCGCTCTGCTCTTCTGGGCTTTCTGTTCTCCGTGTTTATCTGCGATGAGACCGAGGGGATCAGAGGCAGACTGAGCTTTGTGCCAGTGCCCATAATGCACTGCAGCTTCTCGACAGATGCATGGATGCCAGGAGGGGAGGGGGGGGCGAGGGAGGGCGAGGGAGGGTGGGTGACATAGTTAGAGATGTATGTGCTCAGACGCATGCAATGTCGAGAGGAAGATTATTTTTCATGCGAGACGAAATTGAAGAAAGAAATGTGTTTCCCCCTTTTGCAACTTCTGACGCTCTCGGGAAAAAGCTAAAAAAGTTTCCGAAGTGTCCCCGAGCAAAAGCAATGCTTCAAATTCAGCTCGGAGCAGCTGTTTTTAGGTGACCTTAATCATTTCCACGCAGATAACCGGCGTGCGGGGGGGGGAATCCTCCAGAGGCCGCAATTTGATTGGATGTGAGAGTTGAAGGTGTTTGACAACAGGCCACGATGTGTTTGTCATTGTTAAATTTTTTAGGATAACATTTAATTTGTTGGAAGTTATGAATCTATTTAAAATCTCAGAAGATAAGAATCTCGATTTTTACATTAAATTTTTTTTTTTTTAAATCAGATAAGGAAGTGAACAGTCAGAAATCGGGAAGAGAGAGAGTTGGTTGGATGTAAAACCCGGGCTGCCCGCTTGGAGGACTTTAGCCTCCTCACATGGGGCACACTGACCACTAGGCCAATGGTTCCCAATGTGGGGGTTGGGACCCCATTGGGGTCGCAAGACACTGAGAAGGGGGTCGGGAGATTCCTTTAAAAAACATCCAAAAATGACTTAAAATTTCATATTTTACCCATTATTGGGAAAATATGCAACAAAGGTAGATAACTTTTGGATCACTTCAAGCTTGTCTCTTGGATGCAACAATATTCAAGCATAAACTTTTGTACAAAGAAGAATCTGTAGTCTCTATCGGTTCCTTCTTCTGAAGCTCCTATTGGCTGATTCAGAGAAAGTGGGCGGGCACTCTGGATACTTCAAACGTTTCTTCTTACAGCTTGGTTTAGTGACTCATGATTCAAGGATTAGTTCCATGTTTGAGAGCTTTTATTACACGTTTTACTTTGATGGAACTCCACTGGACTTTAGATTGGATTTTGTTCCGTCCTGTTTCCAGATTCAGACCTGATGTGGGCTCAGTGGGTTTAGGATTCAGTACAAAGTCCACTGCAGTGGTTACAGATCGGGCTGGAGTGAAGGAGTGAGTGTTATCGAGATTGCAGGGTTTATGTTCCTCACAAAGATAGAGAATGTGTCCAAGTAAGTGTGTGTGTGTGTGTAGGAGTGTGTAGGAGTGTGTGTGTTTGCATGCAAGCTGTTCATAAAAAAAACAGGCACAGAGTGTGAAAAATAAAAAACTGAAAGAGAGAAAAACATGTAGTGAGGCCGTCTGCTCTGTGTGCGTGTGCGCGTGCGTGTGTGTGTGCGTGTGTGTGTGTGTGTGTGTGTGTGTGTGTGTGTGTGTGTGTGTGTGTGTGTGTGTGTGTAGGCACTACTTCATGAACACAATGTTCCTCACTGCAGCTCATTTCTATTGTTATTAACAGATTTGGGTCAAGCTTTTCATTTGCATCTTCAGATCTGCATGGCTGCAAACATCCACACGTATCAGCGAGTTGTTGTGGGGAGCTGCACGATGGAAGGAGACGACAAAAAAAAAAAAAAAATCTGCCTTTTTTGTGGAGGCTGTGTATCGAATCGCTCGTGTAATTTTCGTTTGATTGGAATAAAATGTTTCATGAATAATCAGGATAATGTCCTGATCATTTTTCTTTCTCCCGATGCCAATATATTTCACATTTTCTGCTCTAAAATGAAACCATGTTTGTTCAGCTTTAGCATGTAGATCATCTAAAAAGATAAACGACAACCTTTAGTGGTTTGTCTGTTGTCTGATTGATGTCCAAGGTTTGCATTTAATGGAAAGTATTTGTGATTTTAACTTTTGGTTTTACAAGAGAAGTTACCTGAAGATGCCAATTCATTTTTTTTTATTTTTCAATCTTAAAAACACACAGAACGACCCTCAGAATAAAACATCTGTGATTCAGACCTGCGTCTTTGATTCTTTAGTATAGTAGTTTTGAAATCTTCTTCTTCAGTCCGCCCACTAGAGGGAGACAGAGAACAATATATGCCAAACCGACAGCCTGCATATTTTTAAAAATTGTTTAAAACATGTTATTTCCCACAGAAGGTCGCTGTGCTTCAGAGAAGCACACTGTGCTTCAGAGAAAATGTTGCATAAAGTAGAGAAAATGGTGCTTTTCACTGGGACTACTTTCATTGGCGGATTAATACCTTTTTTTTGATTGTTTCTGCAAGAATTCAAAGCATGTCGGATTAATTCAAAATAAACAACTGAGTCCATCACTCTTTAAAGTGCTTTTTAATTGTTTTAGGACAACAATAGAAGTCTACGGCACAGAGGAATGTGCTTTTTTGGAGCTTTGGATTCATGGGCACGACCTTAAACGTTTTAAAAAAAGTCTCTACAGTGTTGATTTTTTTTGCCTTTTTTGGGAATTTCTGTTCATAAGAAAACTAAATAATCACCAATGTTGTCCTGTATTTATTCAGCATCAGTTTAAATATGTATAACTTTGTATCCTTGTGGAAAACAAAAGCTGAATACTAACAAGTATATCAATGTCTGCAAAGATCCTCTATTGGGGATGTGTAAAACATAAGATACAAGACGTTTGCAGTTCTTCTCCTCTTTCAACTGTCTGATGGAAAACAAAAGATGATCTTTATTGTTTTGGATATATTTGGTTCTTAGTGTTCTGTTTCCTCTCTGTTCCCCTCTGATCGTATGCTTTAGTCATTAGTAAAGATTCCCCAAACTGTTTTCCACTCTGGAGTCTGGGAAGTAGGTGGGCTGTTTGCACACCGAGACGTTCAAACACATCAGGATAGTTTCAGTATTTGTTTTTCCCCTTCTCCTTTCAGTTTGAACCTCGCTCTGATCTTTTTTTTTTTTTGACGTTTGGCATCATTTTAATAAAGACATCTAACCGTTCCCTCCTCTCTCTCTCTCCCTCTCTGTGTGTTTGTTCAGACCATGGCGGAGTACAGCTCTCTGCTCAGCGACCTCTCTGACAACATCACCAACGAAGACTTGGAGCAGCTCAAGTCGGCCTGCAAGGAGGACATCCCCGAGGACCAGAGCAACAACATCACCTCGTCCAAGGAGTGGTTCAGCTACCTGGAGAAGAACGACAAGCTGGCCCAAGGTGGGTGATCAAATCCTCAGTCCACTGCTTCATCTTAAATTAAGCTGATTTAAAGGGGACATATTATGAAAGATCCGCTTTGACAGTGTTTTTGAATTTGGGTAACCTGAGTGTCTACCGACCCCATCCAGTCCTTTGTTTGTGGTCTGCATAAGTCTTACAACACAGAGAAAAATGCTCTGTTTCAAAATGTGCTCCCCTTGTGATGTCACAGTGGGATTCTGGTAAAAAAAAAATCCCCTCCCCTCTCCTGGTATCTCCACCCATGGACTCCACCCCCAGCCTAGAACAAAACTTTAGCGCAGGTCTGCCATTTTTATTCTCGCTACAGAGGAGTGATGTCAACGGGTAAAACTCAGGGGGGGTGTCATTACATTTAAAGAGACACACACACCAAAACGGAGCGTTCTGAGAGAGCTGGTTTATACAGGGTCACAAACCTCCTCTGGTGCTTGATTCATGTTATATTTTGACCAAAGCACAGCACAGATGTTTCATTTAGACCACAGGGGACTGTTTGAAAAGCTGGAAGAGGGGGATAATATGTCCTCTTTAATGATTAGCCTGGGGTTCAATTTAGTAAAAAAGAAAAAAAAAGCAGAGTTCTTCAATCTTCCGATATAGATTTAAGGTGTTTTCAAAGAACAAGCCATCTAATAAGACTCCTCATTGCAGATAATCTGTCGTACATCGAGCACATCTTTGAGATTTCACGGCGACCGGACCTGCTGACGAGGGTGATCGAGTACCGCACCACTGTGCTGAAGATCTCTGAGGACGACGAGATCGACACCAAGCTCACACGCATCCCCTCAGCCAAGAAATACAAAGGTAACACACTCTGGAAAAGAAAAGAGACTCATGTTAGAATCAGACTTATACTACCTATTTTTTTAATTACTGGATCTTTGCCTCGTAAGAATATTAGTCTGTCATTATAGGACAGAAGTGTAAATAAAGAAACAGACAATAATCTGTGGACGGGCAAGCTTGATTTCAGAGAGGTTCAAGTTGCGATAAAAAGTTATTTTTCCTTCTCTCCCAGAACCTTCTTTTGCTGCCGTTATTGGGTTATTACTCTTGTTTCGTAGCTCCATTGAATTCTCAAAGGAAATTTAGCCTGCAGCCCGACAGAAACACAGGTGTTTCTGTCGGGCTGCAGCCAAATAATAAAACAACTTTATTTCCTAAATGACACAATAATAATGAAAAGTCTGCTCAGTTCTGTTAGGAGGCGTTGCTTTATGGACGACAGCTCGGATATTTGTGTTCTTTTTTACTACTTATTTTATGTTCATTTTTTAAATTAAGGTCTGAAATGAATGCATTCATTTCCTTATTCACAATTTATCGCATACAAGCCTCCGCAGTGTCTCCCAGTAGTCGCAGTGATGGAAAAAATGACACTGCTGCGTCTCAGAAAAACAGTTATATCCACCTTATGACATCAAACGTTTACCTTTGTTACCGTTCCTGTGAGCTGGTTTTATTTAGTTTTTTTATCCTTAACGAGTTCCTTTTTCTGAAGCTAATGTCGATCAATCAGAAGGTCTATTCTTTATTTCAAAATAAAAGCAGGGTTCAACTAAAACAGCAATTAAAGTATTTTCAGCTTAAGACAAACAAAATCAAAATAAAAGCCTAACAATGTTTTATTATTGATCGCGAAATAACAGGATTTCAATAGTTAATCGCGGTTTTGTTTGAAATTTAGCGATTAATTGCAATTACATAAATTGTAATTGTTTGACAGCCGTAATTTATTTCTGTGTCATCTCTATTCCACCACGTACACTTAGCGCATAATGCTCCAAAATGAACTGTATTAAACGAAGAATATGCAACTTTCTGATCCAGTTGATGTCGCCCTTGAGCACCAGCATGTAACCAAAACAAACTGCTCTTTGGCCACACCTCCTCCATACTGAAGCCTCCGCTCTCCTCCACTGAAAACACCTCCAACCCCTCTCTCCTCGCGCTCACATGAAGGAGTTAGCAGCGGAGTTAAGAGTTTTCTCTAGTCCCTCACTTTTATACGTAAGGTCGTCCAGTCCATGTAAACATGATCATGACATTTTTTTAAGCGATTCCTTAGTTTTTCCTCACTTTTCTGAGCCCTCTCCTTGTTTTATTCTTTGTACAGCAGTTTGTACCTCTATTCAGGGAGCCAAAGATCTCCTTTACATGTCTAGCTGCAGCTGTAAAGTTTTCTCATATCTCTCTTTTCTCTCTTTTCCCCTTGTTTCTGACCCCCTCCCCCTCTAAGACATCATTCGCCAGCCCTCTGAAGATGAGATCATCAAGTTGGCCCCACCCCCTAAAAAAGTGTGAGGTGATGACCCCCAGCCCTAATCTTTGCACCTTGATTGCTTCACTCCTGGCACTTCAATCAACCGACCAACCGTTTCTGACCAACCCTTCACACCCTCGCCTCACACTCACTACACACACACACAGACACAAACACATCCAGTCACAAAACCATGGGAAATACCACCTACAAAGCAACCAATCAGAGAGTAACGACGCAGTCTCTTCCCGAGACGAGAGGAGACGGGAAGCCTCGGGGGGGAAAGACAGTAGAAGAAGAAGAAGAAATCTGGAGAGGGAGCGATAGTGTTTGTGTGTGAGGAGAGAGCCAATGTGGACCCTCCCTCGATTCAAAGGCTGAGCGGGTCAGTTCTGAATGAGTGTAATCTGTTGACACTGTTCAATCTGTGATGCTGTTTTCATCAGAGTGTATGTGTGTGTGTGTGTTGTTGAATGTTCAAACAAATAACCATGAAGTACAATTTTTTTTTTGCCCATGTAGAAGATGAACCCTGCCCTCAAAACTTACCCTCAAACTGAAATGGGGAAGTTTTTGAAGAAAGTCTGAAAATGTGAGAAAGCTGCTAGTTAACAATGGAAAATATTTAACCATGTATTGTATGTACAAATATACATATGACTAACACAACTTAGCAGAGCTTAATATTAATAATGCATTCAGTTTTATTGGGCAAATTAGTCTAAAAAGGTCAAAATTGAGATATGACATCTTCATCTAACGTTAGTAATGAGTGAAACAATTTTAAATCTCACACCTTTGACTTATGTGTTTTGACGAGGGTGCTTGTTAAGGGTTGTTTATTAATAAGTTGAAAGAAGGTAGTTGACATTTTGGAAAAGATAGCTTATAATTAAATTTAGCTTGAAAAAGAAAAAACAGAAAAAAGAGCTTATTCGAGTTCGTATAACTTATCAAAGATGGGAAGATGGATATAAAGTTCAAAAGGTATGATAACTAAAGTCAATTAGCTGATTAGCGTAGCTCATTAGAGTCTTTGAATGGGGAACAGGTGGAACAGCTAGCTAGCTAGCCAGCCTTGTATGTATGCTTTGTTTTTAACGTTGTAGAATCAAATAAATTACATATGTTAATTTGTATTGTGTTATTGTATTGCACAGTTATAGAAGGCGTATTTATACTTTTAGACACAACTAGGCTACACTGTTTTCAGCCTTTATACAAAACAAAGCTAGCAGGCTAGGCTAACCCCTTTAATTTTTAGCATACAAACATGGGAATGGTATCCATCTTCTCATCAAAGTCTCAGCAAAAACGCAAATGAAACAGTTAGCTTAATTATCTACCTAGCTACAATGAGTGCATTGTTAATTACAGTACTACAGTTATTAAATTACCACCGTATCGCCTCTTTTGGCTACATTAGCATGGGGCTGTATCTGAAACAAAACCTGGAATGAAACTGAAACGTCAGGACAGTTAGTGTTCCTCAGCTAGAGGTTCTTTCACCATTCCCTTTACTCTTATGCAGATGATTATATCATGTTCAAGAGCCAAATAAAAAAGCCTGATATTTTAGAGGACGATATTTAAAGTTGATTTTGAATAAGCCAATATTTGCCTTCAGCTTATGAGTCGTAGCAAGAGTTATTGAGAGAAGCTATTTTGATGGGAAAGTTATGGACAATAATTCTGAAGTCTGATATATAAGTTGACTGGAGATGTAAATATACAAATAATATATTACAGGAAAAGTTAGCATAAATCATATTTTGACCTGCGGCTCTAACAGCAAATTTCCACGATACGTTCAGTTTCACCATGTCTGATTTTTTGCCTCGATTTTATCTAATCTGAAACTACTCAGTGTCTGTGACGGATAGAGATGACAAAAAGAATATTGAGAACTGAAACTACATCTACTATGGACTATATTAAAGAATATAAAAGTATATTTTGAAGAAAAGCATATTGGATATATATTTAGCGTGTAAAATGTCTGTTTACGTGACACATAAAGAGACACTTAACTTTATTTTTTACCCCTTTGTTTCCATTTTATTTGGTTTCAGAAAAAAAAAACTGACCAGCTTGGAAAGAGGACAAACTTAGTAAGTTGGAGTTGGCGCAAATCAAAGTATCAGCAATGTAAAAATGTGAGACAGAGTACTTGGCATGAGGTGATAAAACATGTCCTTCAATAAACTGTACATACAACAGATTATAACAAAAATCTGCAATGAACTCAGCGGCTAACAACCCACACAAACTTTTCCATTCCCGCCATGCAACAACATAAAAAGCTAGCAAGACTGTTGAAACTAAACTATAATAACCGCTATTTGAACACTGTGTCTCTTTATGCTCTGCGCTGAAGCCTTAGCAGACTTTTTGTTAACCCCAAAATTTTTCCAAACTGTGACAAACAATGTGTGAAGCAGAGACCGATGCACACACACAAACGCCAAGTTAATCAAAACTCCCACTTTTAAAGGAAGGGATGCTTCTTTTATTACAAAATTTGCTAAGGACTTCGATGTTGGCGTGTACAGAATGTCTGTGGGTCTATTGCCCCCATCTTTGGTGTGATTAACGCTGTAGGATCAAAAATTGACGACATCGTAAAAAAAACAGTATCAGTGTATGACTGATCCATTTCCCCTCGTCCTGCTGCCTCCCCTCCCCCACCTCATCACAATCCAACCCCAGTGCCAACGACCAAGACTTTTTTTATTTTGTTAACAGATCCCGTGATCTGTTTTTGTTCTTTTCTTTTGTATTGCTTGACGTATATTGTAGTGTTGGACTGATTTGTATCCTATGCATTTATGTTTGTAGGGAAAAAAAACTGCACTGTAACATATCCTCCCAACAAATCACTTAATCTAAAAAAAAAAAAAAATCTCCATCGTAAACGCAGGGTGTTTTTACAAGATTCTTGTGTTGAATCTGCATGACTGATATTCATGGTTGGGTGGCACTTGGTAAGAGGTATTTGCAAGTGTCAGGAAAGACAATACATTGAAGGGTAAAAAATAGTTAGACCAACTATACTGTACAACTCCCATTCTACTGTTTTGCAAGCAAAGTCTTCAGGTAACGAAAACATTCAATAGACCTTTAATGCCTGCAATTACATGAGGACATTTCAAAGTTTACAAAAAGTGGACATGTTTCTTTGCATAAAACATCAAGTTAATCTAGGCCAGATCAAGCTTTTTATAGTACTGTTAAAGGAATAGTCCACCCATAAGTACTTAAACACTGCTATGGAACAGAGAACACTTTTTAGTCTATTGGTTTATCCAATGACGATGGACTGCTGGTGACTTGGACCACCACTTTTGCCAGGCCTAATATATCTCAACAACTATTTGATTTGATATCATGAAGTTTGGTGCACAGATTCTTGGTCACCAGAGCAGAAATCCTGATGACTAAGGGATTACCTGACTCCTTCTCTAGCGCCATTAACTAAGGGAATGTCATAAAAACTTCTTCAAAACATAAAAGCACCTTCATTGGGACATTTTTTATTAGTCCAATAATTAGCTTGAAGCCCAACTCACCCATTTGCCTAAGTACAGCCCATAACCTGCTAATTTAGTGAGTCCAAATCTGACTTTAGTTACGTTTTTGTTTTGTTCTTCCACAACGTTAACCGTCCAATTGTTTTCTTAGATATACAAAGAAAGGGCTACTTTTAAACGCAGTGTTATAAAGAGAAACAAACAGGTAGAAAATACCCCAAATCAGGCTGAAGACCTAAGACATGCTTAGTTTAGCCCTCTCTCCCTAAAAAAAACTTCTGGTATCTGCACGATTCTTCCCAGATTTGTAATTTATTACAGTGTTTACGTTTTTCTGGGTGGACTTCCCTTCAGCGTCCAGACTAGCCCTTGCTAGGCCTGACCCCAAGAGAAGCGGTTGCTGCCCTCCTGTAGCTCGAGCCTGTTGAAAACAATATGGGACCACTGGATTTATTCCAGAGCTGAAGTTAAGAGTATTAAGAGTATTGTGCAGGGGGAGGCAGCTATACTTACTGCTATGACCTGTGGGTAATGGTCTTTCTCAGCGTTAAAATGGATGTGAACATCGGCCATGACTGTAGATTTTTAGTAAAGACGTTTGGTGATTAACAAACCAAAGGGTTTTTCTTTCCAGATGTTAGCATGAGTTTTCATCATTATACAAAATATCAGCAAGGGAGGATTTGGGCGATTGTATCTCTTTTTTGATCGTTTTATTTCCTTTTTATTTAAAGTGCTATTTGAATCGTATCCTGTGAATTTAGATGTATGTGACCAAGTGACTTTTTTTTCCCCCTCGCTCTCAGAATTTCAGTAGGCAATCGAGTCCTGTTAGCAACTTTGTGGTAGTTTGTCAGTCGCTACTTTGTCCGAAAAATCAGTATACATCAAAAAAAGAAAAAAAAACGTCTGTGTGATGGCCTAGATGCTCTTGGTTAGCAGCTTATTCACTGGAGTGTGAAGATTTCTGTAAGCATCGAAATGCAGCTGCAGTCCATTATTTTGTTTTCACATCAACCCCCGGTTTCCTACTCATCTAATATCAACCCCAATCAGAAATTCATCACCAAACAGATGTTGTATTTGGCATTGCTTATCGTTTACTCTGTTGGCACATAATATATCAACATATCAGCCACAAATGATGTCAAATTTGGATTTCCACGTACCAAGTACATATCAACCATACGAAATGCTGCAAAAGGATAAACCTTCTAAAATATGTTTATTAATGATGAATACCTGAGTATAACTAACACATAATAATATGAAATAAAAGACACATATTGTGTGAAGGTAAACATCATGTAAGTCATGCTAACAGTCGATTCAAATTCATCCAAACAGAGTATCAGTTTCCCTTTAGAAAAGTCTGTTTTCTTTTTTTCTTTTTGATAGGTTGTAAATATGTATTTTGAATAGATATCACCGTGTTTGTTTTGAAATTGATTAATTTATTCAATGCTTATAAAATTGTTGATTTGACATGTCCTGATTTTGTGTTACTAACTGGAAACAAACCTTGGGGGATAAAAATGTGTTGCTTATCCAATATCAAGCATCCATGCATCAACACTTTTATAACTTATGTTATTCTTTTCTTTTATGTTTGGCTGTTTCGGCTTCGAGTGATGATTTATTAAAAAAAACAAAAAGTGATATTCATTTCATTGTATTTACGGATATGTAACATATTATGTTTTACTGTGTTGTATTTGATCAGATGTGTCGTGGTCACTGCTTGTAAAATGATTTTATTCAGAGTTTCCAAATCATGACAAAAGGTAAAAGCAGTCGCAAAGTCAAGACAGACATTTTTTTTGTTAGAGACGTGAATTTCAGAAAATTCAAAAAATGTTCACCAATGATTTACAGGTAACAGTTATTTTTGACACATCTTTACCAAAAAAAATGAATTTACTTATCATTCTACTTACAAAGAAATAACAACTTTGACTGAAAAATAGGTAGCATTATAGTTTTGCATGGCAGCCTTAAGTCTTCAGTAGGCTATTTGAGAAATAGATTCAAGAATTAGCCATCACATCATAAATCAGTTGTGTAAATTATGCATTGAGCAAAGAGCTACTGAATTTAGCCAGTTAGCTCCTATTAGCTAAAGCAAAACAATGTAATTTCAACTGAACCTAGTATTTTGTAACTGTAAACAAAGCCAATATATACATAGTTAGTTTAGCATGGATTTATTTGGCACAAATTCTAAATGTTGTTCCATATCAATGGAGTTGAACTCAGTATCTTTCTTTAAATAATGTATGTCTTTTTTGGGCTTATTAAACTTTATATCGATTCCCATTATTAGCTCATTTAATTCCCAATACCATTTGTTAAATACTGAACTCTTAAGGCTCCATAGTTTCATTCGATTTCTTTTCTTTTTTAAATTAAGGTGTTAGTGAATAGGAAAAGGTTGTGTGGATGACGTGATAAAGAGGTGGGAGTATCAGTGCTGGGTCGAGTAATGTGAGTAGTTAAGATGAAGCTCTAACAGATAAAATGTAGAGGCGTGAACAGAGAGAAATATGTGCTGTAGGTTCAGAAATTGGGATTACATCTCTGTTGTATCTGCATTTAGGTAGTTTCATTTTGAATGTGGCGAGTCTTGCACAAGAATGTTGTACAACTGAGAGATGTGATTAATGGTAGCAGAGTGTGTTGATGTTGGGAATGCTGAATGTCTGCTCGGTTTTATGGGGTGAAGTTGTGCAGCAATGTCGTTTTTTTTCTTTGCACCCTCAGCCTCAAAGGAATTGTCTGTCACCTTAAGTTAGGCTTTCCTGAATATTATGCACAAGCTTCTTAACCACACCTATTTAACTTTCTCAAGAGCTGCACAGAATTTAAAAAAAATCTTTAATTTTGAGGAATAAAGTTTACATTTCATGCACAATAAAAGCACCACAGGTGAACGTGCCAACTTGATTCAGTTGCAGACTGCTGGGGTGGATGGACTTGAAATCATGCCATGCTTGACGTTTAGTAGTTTCTTATCGTGTTTGTGTTGAACAATCTTTATTTCATAAAATCCCGTTTATGTTTGTGGCTAGATCGGTGATTCTTGAAGTGTGTTTTTCAGTAGGCGCTTTTTTTAAGTGTCGTGTTTGCAGCGCTAGTCTTTGAAAGAGGAGGTTTAATGTAAGGCTGAAGAAAAAAACATTCTTGGAGTCCGGTTTACAATTTAGAAGCATCCTTCAATTTGACTCAGCAGGGCGAAGTTTAAAGTAAGGAGAGGTTACGCAAACGTGTCAGACAGAACTTGGAAAAGTCGTATTAAGTTTTTATTTTTTACTAATTAATGGCGGTGTTTTCAACAATGGACTGATCTAGTCTTTAGAACACTAACCTCTGAATTTTCATGACATTTATTTCCAATTTCCGATTAAAATTCTTATTTTCAGAAGCTTGCTCAAGTTTTGTTCTGTTAGCATTAGCCACATTTGGAACCGGCTAGGAAATAAGCTAATGTTAATAACACAACGGCAGGTGTGACATGTAGAAGTCGTACTTTTCAGAAGCTAGCTCAATGGTTGACGGGGTTTTTTTGTTAGCATTAGCCGAATTTTGAACTAGTTAGAAGGACACAAGCTAATGTTAACGCTTCAACAGCAGGTGTGACATAACACTCAATAACCTGAGTTACTTTCCTTAGAAGTTGCCGTGTGTCAGTCACTGCCTTGTGAGTCGAACAGTGGGATGTTATCTCTTGTATTCTGACAGATAATGTTTTAATGTGTTTCTTCTTAAATTGGTGTAGCAAGTGACAGGTGTGTGTTTTCTCACAGGGTCAATCCATCTCTTTAGTTAACGCCTCCTTATACAAATGTAATCATTTAAATAAAGGCCTGTACGAGGATGCAAACAGTTGATTTGGTTGGAGACAATGAATTGATCCTTTTCATCGACAGTGACAGCATAACTGAAGAGGTTTTGGAGTTTTTATTTTTATGTTTTTCAGCTCACAACACAACCCTGTTGGACGCCATTGGGCTCAATGCTGTTCGAAATGTTTGCTAACGGTTTCCTCTCATGGGGCGAGAAGTACTTCAGAATTGATTTAACAATGACTGCAACAAAATATGATGTGAGGTATTATTCAAAACCAATATAAAAGGTGTGGCTTTTGTCATGATTTAAATGGGACTGAATTGAAAATATGCCATTTTGTCATTGTGCTAAAATGAACATAAATATTATATATTAAAATATATTTGCTAACCTAAGCTGTGCCTGGAGTTGCTTTTTTTCCACAAATATGGTTGACAGTAGTGTTGTAGTCAAGACCAACTGAGACCAAGACATACCCAAGACCAGAGTGCTCCAAGACCAAGACGTTTATGAAGACCTTTGCATTGTTTCCAACAACATTAGAAACACATTTATAGACGTTTTTATAGCTTATAGCCATTTTTTGCATTTATGGTAGCTCTTGGATTCAAAGTAAACACAGTGACTTAGTATGGTATATAAATCATTTATTACAGACTTCTTTCCAACTTCAAAGGCAAATGAGACAATGTTTAATCTTCAAGAAGTCACAATGCAGAGTTGAACTTGAAGTATACAGCAATTTGAAATGTAAAGTATCACCTTTTAAAGCATTCAAAGAAAGAATGCTGCAGAATAAATACACTAAATAACGTTGAATGTCTGAAGAGCCTATTGGTTTATCTGAGCCATGAGCCCCTCGAGCTCTGGACGACCCTTGAAACGTGAGTGGAAGTCGGCCTCCGTGTGCTGCGAGGAAAAGTAGGAAGACCATTTAAAAAAAAGAGTTAGATTGAAATAAAGACGAGCATATTCACTAAAGCCTGTAGGAAGGAGCGTTCCATTGAACGTCAAACTCACCTCCTTCACAGAAAGTCGAACTCCTTCCGGTTGGTTTTTGAGAACAACGCCCATGAAGAGCGGACACAGTGTGGCGTCTAGACTGCTCAACTACACAAACAGACAAATGTCACAGTCAGGTCAGATCCTGCAGAACGCAAAAAAACACCGGCGCATGAAGCAGTGGATTCAGGAGGGAAAGTTAAAGATGATACCTGAACGACTCTCTGGTGAGTTTTCAGAACGGCCTCGACGAACATCTTGGTGCCTTGCTCCTGCATCAGCATGACCTCTGTGGTCTTGGTCGGCAAAGCGTAACTGCAGGAAGACAAAACCACCATGAAGAGTGTGTCTCTCACCTTGAGTGCAAAGATGGATAACCCTTAACACATCTGCTGAATGTCCACTGTATTGTAAGAGCTTTTTTAAACCGTCCTCACCTTTCGGCCACTTTGATGCCGAGTCGGTTGCAGAGGTTGTGGATGTACTGCGAGTAGTGCTCCACCAGTGTCATGTCATGACCCGACACTCGGACACTCAGAGACCCATACGCGGTGTCTGTCGCCGCCAGGATCGGCTTCATCTGGTGTTTGTCTTTCTTTTTCTTTGGCTGAAAACAAAGAGAGAAAAGAAATGCTCATTTAATGCTAAAGCCAACTATTTTTATTCTCACGTCAAACCAACAAGGTGTTGCAGCGATGGAAGCGAGTAAGAGTATTAATTGAGAGAGATTAAAACGCAGAAAGGTTGGCATGGCAACACTTGTGCGCATCGACTCTAGGGAGGAGGAGGGGGAAAAAAACAGCTCTCTCCATTGTTTTGAATTTGGACTGCAGTACCCATTTTAAACACTAGGTGTCAGAGTTACATACTGCTCCTTTAAGGGTATTGGCTTTGCAGCTGAAATAACTAACTGTGTTATTTCCATAAATGTAACCTGCTTCCAGAGTCTTACCGGTTCTCTAGGTATAAAATGTCTCCACCGACCAATCCCGTGCGTTGGCATGGACTTGTATTGTCGTTTGTCGACAGAATCTGCAGATGAAGGAAAGATATATATACATAAATATTGTGTTTACTGATGCCAACATTATGGTATGTGCAAATGTAACAGTTTAAAGTTATGCACAAGAAACAAGTGAACATGTAGAGTTTCAATCACTTACCCCACACAGGACGCTGGATACACGGTGTGGCCCTTTAAATACAACAGTAGAAGTATCAGTCAGAGAAACAAGTGAACATGGGGCAACACACTTTGTGTCTTTTTCAAACCGGCCACTACACCCTCTCCCTCCCCACTACACCCTCTCCCTCCCCACTACACCCTCTCCCTCCCCACTACACCCTCTCCCTCCCCACTACACCCTCTCCCTCCCCACTACCCCTCCGTCTCGCGTCCTCACGGAGGGTCCGCCATATTAAGTCCGTCCCAAACCAACTAGCAGGGAGTGGTAGTGGGTTATAAAACCCTCCACCAGCGAGTCTGCACCGATGCCGACTTTCAGATCACGTGCAACGCCTATTGTGTCCGGTCGTCATGGAGACAGCAACCTGTGAGTTCAAACACTGCTCCAACTAAGATAGACATTTAATATCATCATACAGACGTTAACAACTTCAAATGTGTTCTGAGGATCAAATAGATGTTTATTTATTGTGAAGTGTTTCATATTTACAGGGACTGTCGCAAAAACAAAAGAATATTAAATCATGTTGCAACAACTTTTCGCTGTTAATATTTATTCTTTATTTTTCTACTTTTGATGTCTTTGTGAAATCTCAATTCAACAACAACAAAATACACTTTATGTTCAACAATAGTCTTCTTGTCTTTGCATTAGTTTAGGACACCCTGATCTGAAAATTACAATAAATTAACCTAAATTATAAATTACATTAAACAATGTAGGCTCAGTCTAATAGTTTTGTTATAAGTCTACACTAATATAACTAAAGAAGAAGAATCTAGGCTACATAAAGATTTTTACAGAATGCGTTAGCTACAAAAAAAAAGCCGTTCCCGCAAGATACCGCTGAGTAACCATGGTAACACACAGTTCCTGTTTCCACCTGAGAGAGGGGAGTTTGTCCCAAAGCCTGCCGCTGCATGTCTACCTACACTTGATGAAGGTGAGAGTGTGACTTCTGACGGAGAGGGAGGGTGAAGGGGACAACACTAAAGACCCTCCAAGGCAGGAAAAAGACTTTATTAGTAGTTACTGTGTTTAATGTAATGTAATCATCAAAAGAGACACAAGTTAAAAAATAAAAAAATAAAAACAAATTTAACAGATAAGAGGAAGTATGAATGTTGGCACTTACCGGCATAATGTCAGCACTTGATTGACTGCCTGCAACTGGAGAGAGAAAAAAAAACCAAGATGAAATCAGATTCTTTCTTTAAGGTTTCTAAATATTCTGGAAAACCTCTCATTTTATTTTGAAATTCTCCTTCCAAAACAGAAGCGGACCCGTGTGAGTTCCGGTATCTATCCAGCTGCTTTCTGTGGTTAATATCATTTAAAATAAACTACAGTTTTCACAAACAGTGAATAAATGTGAGTCAGCCTGTGTGACCTCTGCAGAGAAACGGAACACCTGGACACACAACAGGAAGCTCACCTTTCGAAACACGGGGTTCATGTTTCAACCTCTCAAACAGGATCAGGGCGTCGCGCTGCGAGTCGGGAAGTCAGCTACATGAAAATGATTTTTCTTTTTTTAAAATGTCAAAACACATGCATGTCTTGCTGCCGAGCTGCGGCTACTGACCTGGAAGTGCTCACGCGAAATCCCTCCGTCGTCTTAAAAGTCGAAGCGAAGGTTCCGGGGCTTCGCTCACGTCATCCCCTTCTCCGTTCAATTAAAATTTACAGTCTGTGGTTTGAAATATGTGACTTGATTAAAAAAAAAAAAAGCCTAATATGACAGGAAATGTTCGGTAACAAAAGACAGGAATATAATGTCTGCTGCTGGCTTAGTTTTGCACAACTAAGCAGTTCATAAAGCTTTATTTATCATTTAACCTTTGCCGTTTGTCCCTTCTCCCTTTCCGTTGTCTCCAGCTCTGCCCTGTTATTTTGTGATTGTTTTGATTGAGAGCCCCCTAGTGGCGGATTTTACATACTGTGCGTTTAATATTTAAATTATTACATTTTCTTTCTTTACTGCCCACATTGGATTCTTCTCTCATATGAGCAGTGACTTTTAAAAAAAAATCTTAGATCAGTCCGACTATCAAGCAAGTCCTTACCTCGAGTGTTGTTAAGTTTGCAAAGGAAACACTGAATGCGAGTGCACATTTCAACAGACTTTATTATCATTTATTAGCTTTTGAACTTGTATCAAAATAATATTCCACTTTCAACATTCAAAGATATCAGGCCTTACATAGTAGGTTTTATTTTATAGGAAAGTGCAAAACGTCCCATCGCCTAAAACGGATATTTAGAGAATAATGTATGAACTGTGCATAGGAATATTTCACTTCTTTTAAAGAATGCATCAACTACTTTTTTTAAAGCACATCTATGAAAAGCAAGGTAACCTGTCGCCTATGGAAACGGTTATTACTGACACATTGCATTTTTCTTTTTTTCTAGCGTCATGCCAAGCAAACAAACTTCAAATGATCCATGCACGCACACATCCTTACTCTTTGGCTTGCAATGTTTAACTAGCATGAAAAAAAACAAAAACAAATGCATACCTGCAGTTCCACTCAAGGAGATTGTTAATAGAATAGTTTGCTCTTATCCAGGGCAAACGTGTTAGCATGTTTACAAGAATACTGTTCCTATCAAAAGGCTTTCAATGGTGATAACAACTGGGCCGTTCAAGGACTTGAATTCTTTTTTAAGTAATGGTAGGCGTACTGAAGCTCTCTCTGTTTAGCACCTCTTGTAACATTACTTACATTACCAACAAAACTTGTGTTTTCTTGAATTCCCCATACCCGAACTCTGGATTTTACCTATAAATCCATAATCTTTCATGGCACATAAGAAAGAGAAATCATGCAAATAGACAAAAAAACAAGTTTATATTCACGTATTTATAACACCCACTGAAGTTTAAAAAATACTACAGATACCGATAAAGGCTTCTAAGGGATTGGAAGATATGAAAGAAGTCATGAATAGGACTGGGATACTCATAGCTAGAAACAAAAACTAAAAATACACCTTACAAAATGTTCTTTTTTTATCACTTTTTACCGGTTCCAGTTCCAGTTGACGCCTGGATAATTCAGCATATCTGTATTTTTGTTGTCTTATTTGCATGAAGTCACCTGTGTACTGTCAAATTGGTAAAGATGTTTTCACTATTTGCTTGTTTTTGTCTATTTGCATCTTGTCATCTTAAGTTGGGAGCATGCTGAGCTGTAGACATGTTCTCACATTGAACAAACATGTCTTCTCTGACTATCTTAAACAGACCATCGTTCTCACCAAAAGTGCAAAACTAAAACACACAACCACTGTCTTGTGGTCACGGACCATTTAGTATCCAAACTTGGAGTCAGGGAAGGAGACTCGAGAGTAAATTTTCTTCAATTTGAAGACACAACCAGAGAAGGTAAGGCAACATTCACAGAGATGCAAGACCTCTGTGTTTGAATTTTTTTTATATTGCTACATTTGAATTCTCTTTGGGTTTTTTTTGTCTGATTACTGCAGAACATGGAGGGACGTTTGAAGAGTCTACTTTTCTTTGGTTTGTACTCCTCTTATCACCAACTTTGCAAAAATTAAGTAATCAGTTTTATCTATTTTTAAAGAATACAATCTTTTTTTATTTAAACGCATTTTTCTTGAAAATGGATTTGACATGTAATTTGCAGGGACCTTTTTAATTATTGTGGCAGTCATCTCCAAGACGGGTAAGAAAATACTTTTTCTGTCTAGTTTTCTGAATATTACCATAATGTTGATAATGATTTGAAATGAAGTCATATAACTCAAAAACCGTTGATGGGTTAAAGGTTAAGTAAATATGGTGACGTTAATTTTAAGGGCTTTACACCACAACAACAGCTATTTCGCTACCAATTCCAACACTACTGTTTATTATGTAAATACAAGAAAAAGTCAGATATTTTAGCCCAGTTTTAGTAGTGACTGGCATTCCACATTTTATATCAGTATCATTAATCTGAATGGTTTTAAGAAATGAACACATTTACATAAATGTGAGCCGCATTTTCATGTTGTCAAGATGCGAACACATTTTTATACTGTTGGGTAATGAAACCTCTAAACCAGTGGTGTCCAAACTTTATTTCTTGCGGGCCAAAATTGTCGTGTTAGAATCGCCACAGGTTTTGTTTTTTAAAATATAGTTGAAAAAATAGTAAGGCTTTGTAGATCAGAATCAAAAGACTCGCTAAAGAAACCCTTTAATAAAAGGAAATCAAATATTTTGATTTCTTCATTTTACTTTATTTGTTTTTTTCTCAGAATCAAGGCTGTGACGAGCTTTCTGCATTAAGCTCAGGTCATTAATGGTTAAACACAGTCTGCTTGTTTGCAAAAACTTTGCATACATTTTTTTCATCGTTTACAAAATAAAAAAACAACAACAACATGTTACTGAACATTTTCTATTTTAGGAATATTGTTCAGCCTCGTTAACATGAAAAAGAAAATAAGATAATGAGCCGATCTTAATCTTAAATTTACATGCTGAAATTTGAGGAGTTATGGGATGATATCTTAAACCCCCGCAGTCGGAGCCTACAGGTGGATGCTGGGGTGGGGGGTGAGGCTGAGCGAGAGTGCAGTACTGGTTCAGGTCAGAGCTGGAAACGACAGACCAGAAGGGAGAGACAGGAAATCTTGCAGCTTAAAAGGCTTTATGCGATTTTTTGATCCAGCAGATGTCGCCCTTGAGCACCAGCATGAAACCAAAACAACTCGCGGTGCATTGTTGTGTTAGCATGCTAATGCTAGCGATCTTTATTATGCTGGTATCTTCACACTGCATGTAAATTTACCTGAAATGAGCGTGATCTAGAAACACAGTTAAGCAGTGAGTACAGTATGTTATTCTTCTTTTCTCTAGTCCCTCAATTAAACAACTTTTATTCACGAGTGGAGGAGTCAGCCGGCCGTCCCGGCGATGTAAACAAACAGAAGATAGGACTCTGAAAACTCTGAAAAATCACAGACAGTGGGACTCGGGTGTTACACCCATTGTAGACACAGACACAGAGTCAGAGTACTGAAAAATTGAAAAATCGCATATAAAGGCTTTAAATAGGTCGCTAATTGGAAGGAGGTGTTGTCAGGTGATTGTTGAGAATGAGGCATGTCAGGTGTGAAATCAGAGCAGCTCGAGGCGACTGCCTGAACTAGCTTGCGGGCGGCGCCTCATTGTTGGCAACACAATGTGATGAAAATGTTCCAACTTTTTTTTGCCCAAAAGCATCTCAGCAATACCACCTCATCAACAGCCAGCGGAGCTGGTATGACGCTCAGAAGTTCTGCAGGGTGAAGTACACCGACCTCGCCACCGTCGGCAACATGGACGACAACGACGAGCTGCTGACGGCGCTGGGCCATGACTGGACCTACAGCTGGATCGGGCTTCAGAAAGGAGGTGCTCGCAGGTGGATGTGGTCGGATGGCAGCGGCCCAGCGTCGTTCTACAAGTGGAATGGCGGTGAACCTTCGGGTGATGAATGGTGCGTGGAGCTATCTGAGGAAGGCGGCTGGAACGATCTATCCTGCGAAGACACAAAAGGTTGCGTGTGCTATGAACGTGAGTCGAAGACTCGTGTTACTATTACGAAAAAAAACCTATACAGTAGGCGCAGTCTTTTTAAGTTTTTTAACTGTTGCTGTAACCATGACAACCACGTACGAATTTAACCCCCGGAAGTCCCTGGCATTCTATGGGATCGTGCTACCCATCGAGACGTGCGAGCTAAGCTGCAACTCTGTGCAGTACAGGGCGCATTATTTGACCGGGGCTTTTTGTCTATCAAGAAATGTCTCTTTTAAAATCTTAAAAATAAAGAATTTATTACAGAGTATAAAAACAAGCCTCCCATTTCCTTACATTGTAAATGCTGTGAGTAGTGGTGGTAAAGTAGGAAAAACAAAAATGTGCTGTTTGTGCTGGAAATATCAGGAGTTTTTCTGAAGTTTTGTGCATGTGTGAAAGCTCTTTATCTCATCCATCCAAAGCAACTTATTTGTAGATTTTTTGTTCTTCTTCCTTACCCTGTATCTCCCGTTGACTTTCTTCAATCTTTGCTGCTGTCTCTTTTTCCGTTTGTCTCTTTAGGTCAAATCAATGGTGACAAAAGGTATGTTTATTATTCTGATGCACGTAGCTGGGCTTACAGTCTGGAGCTGTGCCGAAGTGAGCACACTGACATGGCCTACATCAAGAGCGAGCAGGATATGGCTGATGTCATCCAGATAATCAAAACATGGTATGGAAGCATCATTCTGGAAAAAAAAGTGTGGATCGGTCTGTTCAGTGATGCCTGGATGTGGGCCGACGGAAGTCAAAACTCCTTCAGGAACTGGCTGGTTTACAAGCCGGATCGGGAAAACTGCGCTGCATTTTCAGTTCCTTACAAGGGGCGCTGGGTCGACGCTCAGTGTAACCAGGAGAACACATTCATCTGTCAGGGTGGTGAGTATCTGATTAGAAAGTTGAATAACTTTAGTGACTTGTTAGCAAACCTTTCATTCCATTTCAATCGCAATTTGATCGTTGGTTAAAACTTTAACATCTAGAATAGAAGAGTTTAGTAACAG